TAGAAAGGTGTGCCCCTGGAACCCAGCCACACCTGGTGGGGGGTCCCCAAGGTGCTGGGGAGGGATTTGTGGTGATCGTACGGGGTGACATGACTGCACATGGCCAGATGTGGGTGAAGCAGCCAGGGACCCTGTCTGGAGTTCTACGGGTTCCTCCAGGCCAGGTGGGAGAAGGCAAATCCCAGCCGGCCATGCAGGGAGAGGGGCTCAGGGACAGGGACCCTGCCCAGCCAGGCGTTACTGGGGACCTGCTGCATTCAGGAGCAGTGACAGCCAGTGGGGCAATGGGGGTGGCAATGGGGGGTAGCAGCCGTCCTTGGGGGGTGTGGGTCACAGGGCTGCTGGCAGGGATGGGCCAGCACTGAGATGGTGCCAGAGGCTCAGGCAGCTCTTTGATGGAGGAGCAGGACACGGTGGGGCCAGGAAGAGCCAGCTTTTCTTGGCAGCCCCCAGCTGTCCCTTGCAGGACAGTGACAAGGACAGGGACGCCGTGCCCCAGGCGACTGCTGTCCTCACACAGGTGTTCAGGTGGACAGGCAGGAACAGCTTCTTCCTGAAAGGGGACGTGGACCTGCTGATGGTCGGTGGGGGCAGGTAGGAGCTGTGACTTTGGCAGCGCACAAGTTCCCAGTGGCCCCAGTCTGAGGCCACTCCACCTTGCGGAGCTGGGTCCAGGCACACGCTGGCGGTTGGAAGCCATGAACACTGGTGGATGTTGTCCAGCAGCAGGGGCCATTTCATCCCTCAACCCTGCTGCCCTGTCCAGGCACGGAGGAGGCAGGAGAGGGGACCCTCAGCTGACTGTGCCCTTGGCCCCTTCCCAGCGGCAGGTTTGGGCTGTGGCTGGATGGAGACCTGCTCCACGGGGGCAGCCACCCCTGCGAGACCTTCGACAATGAGACCCTCTCACCCCGGGAGGAGTTCTGCGTCCAGGACCTGGAAGTGTGGGGCCTGGTCTGACCCTGCGGCCTGCACCGGGGACAAAGGTGGCATGAGGAGGGGGAGGATACTTTGGGACTGATGACTCATGTCTGAGCCTGCCGGGGTGGTGCACGGCCTCGCCTCTGCCTCCTTCCACCCTGTCCCCTCCACTGGCCCCATTTCATGTGCCATTGGCCGGTGGGGACAGCATGCTGAGGCCAGGGACAGGCCGCAGTGGGATCTCAGCCCCTGCAGTGCTGCTGCTGCCATGCCGGGGTCCCCGTTTTGGACCCCACACCAGCACCGAGCACCCTGCCTGGGTGGTAGGATGCAGAGCCACCCTGGAGGAGGCTGTGGTGGGGTCCAGCACTGCAGGGTCGTCAGAGGAGCTGTGAGAGCAGCGCAGTGCGGCCGAGGCAGCCTCACTGGCCCCGGCCCCAGGGCTGGCAGCGATGCGGGGACCACTCCTCAACAAACGGGCAGAGCTCCCAGCCTTGTCCTCGCTGCGGAACCAACGAACTGGGAAGTTGTGCAGAGCAGGCAGCAGCAAGAGGCTGGGAGAGCTCCGGCCCTGCCCTGTCCCAGCACAGGGGCTGAGCTGGGGGCTGTGGGGTCCTGCTCCCCCACCAGACCCACACTCTCTGTCCACCCCATCACCTCCCAAGGAGCAGGGCTTCCTCCTTGGGAACGCTGCGCTGGGCATTGCACCCCAACCCGGTCCCAAGGGGGAAGGGACAACAAGAGCCCTCCCCAGACCCCTTCCCACTCCAGCTCCAGGACCTGCTCCCCCTCGCCCTCTCATTCCTGGACACGGACCCAGCTCTCCTCCTCCTCCACCACCTCGCCATCGCTGTCTAAGCAGCAGGACCAGCCCTGCAGGCGGGATCCGAGGAAGGGGTGGCCCAGGGGCTTCCACTGGAGGACAAAGCCCTGCCCGGTTTGGCCACTTTTGATTGATTCATTTTGTGAGCACGGCTGGGCCCTGGGCTTTACCCCACGACCTCGCCCACTGTCAGCATCGACCCTAACCCTGTGTTTTTGTGAAGCTGTGCAGTAAGACTGTTCTTAATAAAGTTCACACACTGCAGTTCCTTAAAAGAATAGTAAAATAATCATTTATAAAGGCATTCTTAGTCCAGAGAGGCTCAGATCAACACGTCTGAGAAAAAGAAATGCCTTGTATCAGAACTTAACATTAAGCAGGAATTTTTTGCTTAAACTTAGCCAAAAGATATTTCCCAAGTATAAAGTGCACCTTTTATAACAGATTCAAAACAAGCCCAAGCAACAAGAACAAAATTACATTCTTCTGAACAACACTTGATTTTACGCAGATAAGGGAGATCAACGCTTCACTCTGTGCTGTTGCTTCTCCAAGTGCAATAGGAAGTTCTTTAAAGGCTCTTAAAGAGGCCACAGCCCCCTCTAACAGTTCTCTGGGGCACCTGCAGCGCTGCCAAGGACACCAAGAGCAGAGCCCGCACCTCCCAGCACAAGAGCCCAGGCCCGTAAGAAAGCAGCGGAGCACAACACAGCTTCTGGTTATTTCAACAAACCGAGTCTGAGCAAGCACACAAATCCTCGTTCTCCTCCCCCTGCCCAGCAGCCTCAAGTTCCCGTGACAGAAAAGGCAAAGGAAACCTGATGAGTTCTCACAGCGACTTCCCACCGCGCTGGTTTGCAGAGACTGACCTTGTTACTCACGCCTGGCTGTCAAAACTGAACGTGGAACTTCTCTGTCCCCTTTTCAGATATGAAAATCCAAAGTTTGTTACAATTTATGAGCATTTCTGAACCTTTTGCTTTGCATTTTCAGTTTTGAGGGCAGGCTTTTTCAAGCTTGTAGGTTTTATTTAATGAAAACAGCCTTCCTCTTAGACCTGAGTAAAAGAAGAGAGGAAAAAGGTCTTCCTTGTTCACTTTTTCAACTGGATACACATTTAGCGACACTCACATCATTGCTGCCAGTCAGGAAAAAAATATAGGAATCCTTACAGCTCTACAAGGGAGAGAAAAATGGCACAGGAACAGCAATTGAAGGTTCGGGAGAAACAGTGAAGGGACCAAGGATGGAGAACTCCTGCAGAGCTGCCTGCCCAGCCCAGCCCAGCCTGACACAGCACCAGGGAGCACAGGGCCGGCGCAGGCCCTGCCCCAGCAAGCACTCAAACAACGGACATTCGAGCGGTCCTTGCAGTTCAGTGTTAACAGCAAAAGTACAACTTTCAGTCTATCAAAAGAACACTATAAACCAATAAAAGGCTGCATGGTGCTGCAATGCGTTGTTACCTCAAGAAAAATCGTGGTGTCACTTACAGCAAGAAGCCTGTATCTTCATCAGCTTTTTGAATACCAGAAAAGCAATCTTTGGTTGTTAAAAAGATTCTCCTCCTCCCTTATTTTTTTAAATGAAATTCATTTTGCTATTCTTGAAGATACCACCTATGGTTGTTTCAAAGTTCTATCGCCTCACTAAATTTTTAGAAGATATTTCCAAATATCTTACTCCTCTCTTCCTCAGCTACAAAGGAAAACCAAAAAACCCCAGAAACCTGAGCTAGAAGATTTTCTGCTAGCTCGTGCAGTACTACAACCATTTTAAGAAGGGATAAGGACTAGAAGGAGCAGTGATATGTGTTCAGCACCTCTTGCAATAATGATGAACTGCCATTTGAAAGGTTGTTCTTGCTGCACAGTGTCAATACATTCAAAAATCAATGAGAATTGAGTTTGCTCTACTGTAATAGGTTGTTAGTTTTTAAGAAGTCCATTTGGAATATGCACTCTGTTTAAGTACATACATTAAAACACACCCTATTGTAAAATGCATTTCTGCATTGCTCCGTAACTTCTTACGGTCCATCCAACTGGCTTTTAAAAGAGTTGCTACTCAGGGTTATTCATCCCCTGAAGCAGCAGACGGAATAGTGCAAAAGAAAGAGGGTTACTTCCCAAAAGAAAGCCTTTGTTTGCAACTGTGTTTGGCAGCTGTCCTGCAGTCATCGTCTCTCCTGTGATTCCAGCTTTTCTTCATTGGAGTTAGATGAGGCGCAACCACATCACCATCCTATTATTAAAAGTCAGAAAACATTAATGATGATGCATTCACTTTTGCTTTCTATCCCAAAGCAAAGGAAAAGCAGCCCAGTATCAGACTTAGTAGAAAAAGAAATCCAAGGTCCTAGAAGCATTGCAAATCAACAAACACTGGAGACTGCATCTTGGAGATTGAAACTGCTGTGGTCAGTGGTAGCATCTGGAGGGGAGGAAAAGAAAAATCCACCACACATCTGAGAAGCCTCCACCAGCAGCAGCTCACCAGCAAGCCTAGGAAGAGCATCAGGCTTGTGTTTGGGCCACTGGCGTATGAACTGGAAAAGGCACTTGAAGCGTTTCTTCTGGCTTCCCCACAGTACCTCATTTAAAACTGCTGCAACCTACGGCTGTAAGGTGCAGGGCTGTGCCTTTCACTGTCTGAAAGTACACAACCTTGGGACAGTAACTGGCATCTCTAAGGCAGCGGGGCTCATCCCTGCCAGGTGAGTAAATTAATCCAATGCTCAGGCACCACAGACACAGACAAGAGAGCCATCAACTCTCGAAGCATAGAAACATGCTGGTGAGACATACGTTACTATGTTCTGCAACAGGGTACGGCTGAACGAGAATACGAGGATCCAACACAAGCCCCAGGAAGAGCAAGCTGCTTGTTTGATCCATGTGTAAAAAAGCCTTTCTGAAGGTAACTGCTCTCAGCAGAAGGATGCCAGAAATGCAACATAAAAACAATCCCTAAAACCACGTGTTCGTGCCCATAGCTGTAGCTCCAGCACAAAAGAACACTCGTGTACTGCGTGGCCTTTCATCTCAGAGGATGCAGCTCTTGCCCCAAATGAGACTTGGCAGGTGTCAACAGCAAATAAGATGAGAAGTCAGAGATTAACATACCTGACAAAGAGAAAAAATAACCAAACCATGGCTCACAGAACAAACTGTTCACACTGCATTTCTTAAGCAACTTGGAAATTTTAATACAAGCATTTCTTTTACTTTGAGGCTTGATCCCAGAAAGTGGAAAATATCTGAAAAAGTGCACAGAACTAAAGAAAACTATTCCTTCCCCTGGTAAGAACATCAGACAAACAAAGGTGAAAGCTTTCAGATGGATATAATCTTAAGGGTGCCCTCATTCATGGGGATCAATTTGGAAAGGGCAGTGTCAGGAGGAAGGAGCCAGGCTCTGCTCTGGGATGTCCAATGCCAGGACAAGGGGCAGTGGTCCCAAGCAGGAGGTTCAAGCTGAAGATGAGGACAAACTTTGTCAGTGTGAGGGTGGCAGAGCATGGCCCAGGCTGCCCAGAGAGGTTGTGGAGTCTCCTTGTCTGGAGACACCCAAAGCCCTGGCCGTGTTCCTGTGTGACTGCTCTGGTGATCCTGCTCTGGCAGGGGTTGCACTGGGGGAGCTTTCCAGGGCCCTTCCAACTCCTGCTCTGAAAGCCAACCATGAAGGGAAAAACATAACAGTAGATTTGCCAGTACATCTACAAAATCTACTGATGCTTCCAGCCTATTAAGTGTCAATAAATATTAGATGTCTTGTTTAAATAAGTAAATTTTAAACAGAATTATTCACGGAGTCAATAATTTGGTATTATAATGTAGATGTCACAGCATAATGTCGAGCAATTTGCTATACTGCTTGTGAGCAGTTGGATCTGCTGAAGCCTTAGGCTGCAAGCTGTGCACTTTTGCTTGGATATGGTTACAACTGGGATAGAGTTAGTTAATTTCCTTCTTAGCAGCTGGTACAGAGCTGTGCTTCAGATTTAGCACTAGAAAAACGTTAGATATATTGCTAAGTGGTGTTTTGCCCAAGCCTGGACTTCTCCAGTTACGGCTACTGAGGGGGAGCACAAGACACAAAGACAAAGCCTGGATGCCAAGTTATTAAGGGAAGGAGCAAGCTTCTCGACAAAGGTGAAGAGCTCTAAGAACAAGTAAAATAATACACGAATTTGTTACCTTTGGTTTGGTGAAATTATTCCGCATACACCACTGAACAAAATACTGTTTTGCAGCTGAAACAATATCTGAATCCTGACTTTTGTGGTAAACCCGGATAAGCTGCTCTGCAAACCTCATGGGTAAAAGCTTTGAAACCTTCAGAATAAAAAAAGAAATACAATTTTGTATTTTTTGGAATTTAGAGTCCACTGAACTTCAAATTTTTCATCTGAATGCAAATTGAAGGCAGCAAAAAACATCCCACTGCAACGCATGAGCTTTATCCAAATCAACTGGATTTCCCCAGACTCCCAGTGTATTCAAACTGAACACTGTTCACACACAAAGGCTGCCAGGACCCCAGACTGCTGTAGCACGACACACACCGAAGACCTGCAAGGCCATGGATTCCACAACTCTCTTTCCCAGCTACTGCAAGAGCTACAACGAGGGACTGTAATCACTTCCATTGGAAGCTGTGAAGATGCCCTTCAGAAGCTGGTTGAGGAAAACAAAAGATTACCTGTTCCTTAACTATCCTGACTGCCTTGGAGGGATCAGCCTTGCAATAGAAGAGGACATTATCAATGGGATTCTTTTCTTTCATTCCATAATCCATATTGACAACCTTGCATGTGAAAAAAAAAGCAAGCGGCATTTGTTAACATTTGGCTTTAGTTTTCTCACAATAAATACAAAAGGATACACACTATACTTCTGTAAATGACACTAATCAAATAGAACAGTAACTAACAAATTATTACTTAATAAAACAATCTGGTATTTGCATTTTACATCTTTTCTTCCACCACCTTTTGCTCTGAAGCTGCCAAGTGAATATTTATATTTACACCAACCAGCTCCCAGTTGTGCTCTGAAACACTCCAGCTTCAAGCAGTGGAAGTGTGCTGATCCCTTGCCAGACTGCGTCTTCCCAAGTCACACAACCTACTGCGGCAGTGGCAGAGCTCACAATTTTAAACGTGACGCTTACACAACGTTATTTACAGGTGCTTGCTACACCAACAGTTTTGTGGTCAGCAGGGAGAAGAGCCCGCTTCCTCGTGACTTCAACGTGTCGGACAAGGAAAGCACAGTTAACTACTTTAAAGCTAAGTACACTGCTATAATTTGACCCAGCGTGAAGCAACTCTTCAATGCAAGGGAGCTTTAGAAGTGATTTGTGATGCACTCTGTGGAAAGCCATTCGTTAGCTTTTCCCAGAATCAACCAAGAACAGGGATTTAGCTATTTGGACACTTGCAGACTGCTCAAGCTCTGTCTGTCTCAGACCTCCTTTCCACCTAAGTGGAGACTAAATTTATGCAAAAGAAAAAACCCAGGAGCAGCTGCCATGCATCAGGCGTGCAGTATCAGAAGCCTCGGAGTCCCTGTACCCGTTACCCTCCCATCGGGCCTCCAGTTTACCTGCCTTCATAACCCGCAGCAGTGCTTCCCAGGCTGCTGACTTTAGCATCCATCTGCTAAAACACAAAGGCTTCTCTACTTCTTTTCAGAGCAAGGACAGTCATGGGAGAACACATTCACCAGTGGGAGCAGAAGTGCCCAAACCACAGGCCCGTGAAGCTGCCTAAAGCCTCTGGCCCAGACACAGCAAACCTCCCAAGGGGAAGCTCAGTGCTCCCAGAGCCTTGAGCTGAGCAGCTGGGACAGCATTTACAAGGCAACCCTGTGGTTTTGCTTTTTCACTTTGCAAATGTATTGAAATGTATCTCCAGTTTTCACTATGGTATAGAACATGCTCTGTGATTGAGTTTTTACTTTGAACCCACTCCGAGAGATATTTACATCAATTATGAAATCTTCAGCCTTTAGGTCCACATCCGGAGGATTCTTTTCTGGCTTGGAATTAGCAATGTCTTCTGCCAGGCTACCACTCTGAAAAGAGACAGTAACTCAGATTCCATGTATGTGCTATCCAGTCTAGACTAAGGCAACAAAATGCATGACAGAACATGTCACTAAACTAAGCCTTTCACTTCTTCATAGCTTGACAGACTCTTCTTGCAGCAATGTGGTTGGTTGAATCCTTGTATGCCTTAGCCTTATGTTTTCCACACATTTTGAGAAACAAAAAAACTTCTATAACTGAGAAGACCCAAACACTGCCAGCCTGTGGGGAAGAGTTTTACACCTGATGACAGGAAGAAAAGGGAGGGAGAGAGAGAGAAATCCTGTCCATCCAGGATGTTGAAGTCTCCAGAAAAGCAGAAGATAGGTACCTTCCAGCAACTGTTTTACTAATACAATTATTTTGCAATTAAGTTCCCCAAAGCTGAATACTAAATGTTTCCTATAATATGTTTCATGTCTCGGCTACATAAGGACAGGAGAACTTTTGACACCGTTTTTGGAATGGCAGTTAAGCAAAAAAACCCCAAAACAAATAAACAAAAACCACACAGAGATAGAGAAGAAATGGCCAGCAACTTTGAGAAATTTTCACAGGGACAGAATTCAGAATCTTCCACCAGTGGACATTACCTCTACAATTTCCCTCGCTGTTTCAGGTTGACTCTCTCCTAAAAACTTGTATAATTCACGTCGTTCTATTTTACGCAAAATTTCCCGTGCCTCCTTCAGTTCTGGACAACTTGAGTGCAGAATTTCCAGGTAGATGTGATCTGCCAAAGTCGCAATAATTTTTGTTAAGCGCGTCAAAATCCAGAGTCACAACAAAATGCATGTACAGGGACAAAGGTTAAAGCAACAAAAAAAACTGCTTGCTCAGGAGAGGCTCCCAGGGAGTGACTGAACACACTGTCTGCCATCTGAGAAGTCACAGTATCTTATCAGATTCGTAACAGCTGTAATGGAAACAGAAGCTCAGTTCTCAATCTTGCAACAAGTTTCACTGGAAGATGCTTCCTCTTCTTACAAAGTCAATCTTGTTCTTCAGAATATCCTAAACCCCCACACTCACTGGCTTGGGGACAAAGGTGCTACCTCATAAAAGAATAAAGTACTTCCGTTAAACCTTCAGAACTTCTCAGACTTTGATGCTGGCATCAAAGCCCCCTCTCCGGTCTCCACCTGACAGTGGAGTCTGCATGCATTTCCCACCATCAATATGAGCAGCAAGACGCGGGTTTCTTGTGATGTGGCTTTGGAGCAGAGGTTATTTTTGGATGTCCTACAGAGGCTGCTGCTGTCAGGAGGCTGCTCACCTGTCACAACCAACACAGCTGCGCGCCGTGTCTTGTGCACATTCCCCAGCCAGATGTACCCAGGCAGCTCTGATGTGCTGCAAGCGTAGCTCTCTAAGACCCTGCCTAGGACCACAACTGGCTTAAGAAGCTCCCAGCACACTCCAGAAGCGAGCTATGAACTGTGTACCAAAACACCTTTACCTGAGTGCTGCTTTTATGGACAAAGTCAGAACTTCTCCAGAAGGAGCACCAGACAAGGTCTCTTCAGACTGAGAGAAGAGATAAAGTAGGGGAAATACGAAGCCGTGAACACATCCATTGTGCGAAAGAACAGGGACAAGGAACGGTTTGCTGTCTCATCCTTTACTAAAACTAGGATGTCCTGTCAAATCAGGAGGCAACAAATTAAAAACTAATGGTGACTCTTAACACATCATGGAAGAAAGATAGGAAACTTTCTGCTGCAGAACCTCAGAGGCTTATAATTTGCAAAGATAGCACTGAAGCATCACTCATCATGGACTAGTGAAAACTAGCCTGCAGTCCTCTCAGAAGCCCTCAGCTTGCAATCACTGGAGGCAGGGAAGGATGTGCCTTGGTTTAAGAGAAGAACACACTTGTCCTTTGTGGTCCACCATTACATCCAAAGTTGGCACATTTCTCTCATCACTCTCTTTGCTGTTCAACACTCCCAGATGAACAGGACAACCCTGGCAAGCAACTCCTTGCTGTGGCAAACTAAGTCAGGGGACAGTCTTGGTCTCCTTGCCCTGAGCTGTGCTACTCACCAGGTACTGCAGGCTGGTATTAACTTGCTAGTACAGCTGATCTTACAGACCAAACAGCCTCCAGGGAACAGATCATAGCCCATTAAGAACTTAATCTCAGTTCTTGCCTTTCTGCCCAGCCTTCCACAATCAAACACTGCAATTCATGCTCTCCAATAGCTACTGCCCCTCAAAGCCAGCCCCTTCTCCTCCCCTGGGGCAGGGGCATGCAGCATCAGGCGGTTCCTCATCACACGGCTCTGTGCAGCTCCCTCACCCGCTCGATGCAGCAAGGATATGGTCAGATGAAAAACTGCCAGAAGACCTTCAGCATGACACAGGCTGAAGTGCACAGGATCTTCTGCAACAGTGCCCTCAGCCTCTGTCACCCCATCCATGGACCAAAGATCTAAGTTCTTGAGTCTCTCTGTTGGCCAGCCAAGGCCTGGTGATGTTAACTCAGAAAAGTTGCCTTGCCACACAGGGAAGACGCCTTGGGAGTCCTTGTGAGCTGTAGCTCACAGGTGCTGCAAGAGCTGCCAGTACGTCAGCAGGGTCTGCAGCATGGCCCTGCAGTCACCCGACCACAGCCCCCTCAGTGCAGCAGGGTCTGCCTTGATGGCCACTGCCACTGGCCTCGATCCCTAAAACTACACAAAACTGGTAAGGCCATGCACTAGCACTGAACACCAACCAGGTGAATGCTGGTGTGCCTCACAGCGAAGACCAGGAACGAAAGACTAAACCAAGCCACCAGTGGTCGGAAGCCATGGAACTACATAACAGAGGACACAACACAAATCAAGCCAGTTTCCATGAATTCAGTAATTTCTCTGTGTTTTCTCTTCACAGCATTGAGCCAGACATTGAGAAACAAGGTCCATAATCATGCTCGAGTTTCTCTGCATGTCTTCAAGCAGGTTGCTGCTCTGTGTACCTAAGCTACAAGAACCATTCTCACAAGCTCTTATCCAAGCAACCAGAACATTTCAGCAATACACTAAGCCATGCACATATTCTATTTTCTTCTGTTACATTTGCAAACAGGGTAGCAATGTCTCAAGTGAATCAAATCAGACCCCAGCAGAGCTCTTGGAAACCTGCCTTGCGGTTGGTTTCACATTACAACACACACACTACCTGACACAGCTAGATGTTGTACTGCTCAGAGCTGACTTACATCCCACCTGTGACAAGTGCAACAAACTCAAGGCACAGGCAAGACCTCCTGACAGCACTGCTTGCGCTAATCTAAATTCAAATGTTGTCCTGGTTTAGTGGGACAGAATTTCAAAGTCAAATTTCTGTTGAGGAAAACTCCAATTTTGTAAGGAATACAACACTATTTCATAGGAATGAAGCTGATAAAAACTTTGTTACAGGTTTCAGCTAATACTCGTATGCAAGTTGCCATAGTGCTCAAGGTCTTGAGATAAATACGTGCAGAGGCTCAGGGGGAGTGGAAACCTCTGGGAGTCAACCCCAAGGTGACCCCAGGCTGACCAATTAATACTATTCATACCATCAATGTCACATTCACTGTAAATTGGGGACTGTGCTGGGGACAGCCCTTCTTCCCTTCTCTTCTTCATCCTCCTGCTCCCTCTTCCATGGCTGACACCTCGAGAGGAACTTGTTTACCATCCTAACCCTGAATGTGAACCTACTCTCCCAAAATACTGGCTGAGTATAACTCTCTGTACTTTACTACTACTACTACTACTACTACTACAACTACTATTATTATATTAAATATATTTCTATTTCAACCCACAAGTCTCCTTTCCTTTTCCTGAGCCCCCTGCCTGGGTGGGGAGGAGACATTGGGTGATAAGAGCAACTCTATAAACCACAACAAGCATGTGTGGAACATAAAAAGTCTCTCTCTCAACAAAAATGTCATCTAAACTAGAAAGTCTTGCTGTCCCAGCAAGATATGAGAGCACAGCAACTGGATGGTGCAGGTCTGCTGCATCATCTGTGCACAAAAGCAGCACTTGAGAGTCCAAGCCCACTGTTTGGGGGCAAGGGCCCACTGTGCCAGCAGCTCTAACACCAGCATTTTAACAAGCACTCATGATCTTTTACATTAAAATAAAAAGTAAATCTGAGCTCATACCGGTCAGCTTAGTGTATGCTTCCATGTCCTCCATTGCTGTAGAAATCTGGTACTCTTTTCCCCCAGAGCCTTCTATTTTCAAAAATTGGTCTGCTTTTTGAAAGGCTTCCGTAATCCTAGTTTGAGGCGAAATTAAGACTTAAGGATAGCAACATTTTGAAACACCTTGTTGCTCAAAAGACAAAAAAAAACCATCAGTATGTTATAAACAGAAGACAATACAATAGATGAAACCACATCCCAAGCCCACAGCAGACCCCGATGGCACTGCAATGTGTCCTGTCTCCATGCTGTCATTGCACATTTCAACAGTCTTTTCATTTACTGAAAACAGGTTCAGATCAGACCCATTTGTTTCAATGAATGAGCAAGTCCATCTTGTTCTGCTTCAGACCATGAGGTCTGAATGAGGCTGCCTCACAGATGACCAGCTCCTTTCACAGACTTGTAACTTCATGAGTTAACTGAGAGAACACAAAGCCTTGTGAAGGTAAAGCATCACGAACATGTGGTGTTTTCAGGTGGGAAAAACTGATGTTTTCAAGTTCAGCTCTTCCAGAGTTCCCCATACCTCACTGTCATTTCCAGCTCACACACTCATTTGGATAGGCTGCTATGACTATGGTAAGCTAAGAATTAAATTTCTTGGCTGTTTTACTCATCACACCTAGGTACTGTCAAACTTAGCATTTTCAGTCTGAGTTTTAGAGGATCACCAAACCAGGAGCTAAGTTTACGAAATGAGAGCAGTCACAAATCACTTCTGTACTGTGTAATCCTCTGCATTTCTTTTTTCTAAACTCATCAGATGGTTACTCAGCAGCCAAGATCCTAATGAAAAAATATTTGAGGATACTAGCATTTCTGCTTTTCTAGAAAAGTAAAAAGAAGAATGCTACAGGGAAACTTCTATCGACATCAGCAAGAGGGGTACAAAGGCAGCCACTCAGCTGAGTTGGTCCTGCACAATTCCCGCTGTGGCATTACCTGACCACAAAGTCAGGCCTCAGCTGATGTACAGCAAGCTTGCTTGTTACTTTACAATGCGAGTAACCTTCCTCTACTAAACAGCCAGTTTGAGCTAAGCAGTCTCTAACTTGTAGATAAAGATTTGACTTCAGCTGTCAGCACACACTGGTACCTATGCTTCTTCAGGGCTGTGGTAATTTTCCTCTAATTAAATTTCAGGTGGAAAGATGTTGTTCTCTGTCTCTTTTTTTTTTGGGAGTGGGGCAGTGCAGTTGGGTTGATTTTGGTTTTTTTTTAATTTTGGTTTGGGTCTTTGTTAATCAGCCTCTATGGCACTCTAAGCACTGAGCCTTGCCACAAGGATTGGGTATGCAGCCGTGTGGTTTTTATTCTATGTCACACCTTATTGATTATCTGAATACTTCAAATGGACATACAGTTTTGAGAATTTAAAAATAAATGGAATGCAAGAAAAGGAAAGTATAATACTTGCATTATTTCAATGATGTTGCCAATCTTATGTTGGTATGCTCGTCGGTGCAGGCAAATCCGTGTGTGGAACATCTCATACAAATTTCCAGCTTCCTGAATTAAAAAAACCCAATCATCTTTAACTTTTAAGACAGTCTTAATTGGAAAACTGAAACAATCAAGGAATTGATTGTCTCCTTCCATTAGCAGCATAGAGCAGAATGGTTATTTTTCACAATTTACAAATTTTGAAACAGCCTCGGGCAGCCGTGGGAGAGCAGAGGTCTGACAGTGACCCCAGGCTTCCTGGGCAGAGAGGAGGACCTCTCGCTGCTTTAGTGGCTCCTTTCCAAAGCCACGTTCACCTCTTGTGCAGAAGGCCTGCAGCAGGATCATGCACAGCAGATGGTTTTGTCGTGTGTCCACTGGAAGGACCCTCCAGGAGCCTTTTCAAGACAGAGACTTGCTCTGCCCCTCTGTTCTGAGAACAGATTTCAGAGCAGCAACTCCTTCTTCCAATCTCAGGCTAAAAAAGCACCCGCAGGCAACCCCAGCATCCCCTGGCAATCCCGAGCACAGTGTATCACGCTGCCCGAGGCTGGCTTTGCCATGCCCCCGTGTGTTCCCAGTGTGCACATATTTTGCTGCTGAGCATTCCCTCAGCTCACACACACTGCTTACCTTGTCACGGGCACAGATGTGCTTCTGGTTTCCTTCTTCACAGACCCGAATTAATTTAAGTAATCGCTTATGATCAAAGTTATTCTGGATTCCTAGGTGATGGCAATCCCTAAAAATATTTCACAAGGAGCGTTTAATGACAACATCGTACTTGTACATCCAGTAGCATCATTTCAGTAGGAATTCATAATAAAATTTAAAAAACGTAAGATTTGTACCTTGCAAAATAATCCCATTTGTCAACGTCAATGCCATTTTTTTTGTTAGCTACTATTTCATATAGGAAACTTTTCTCCTTTTGTCGACCACGGTAGGGCCACTAACAACAGAGGAGCCGAGAACAAAAAAAAATAAAAATCAGAAACAACAAGAAATTAAAGTGTGCAAACAATGTCAGAATGGTTTTTTTAAAGACAGTGGGAATACACTTTGATAAACACCCAGCACTGAGGTAGACCACAAAGACAATAAAAGAGCTTTCAGAAGCTGTCGGACATTAGAAATCCAGAACTTTAACGTAAGCAGCAGACTTCTTAAAATATCAGGAAGAATAAAACCATGTACACAAGTATTTCATTTCCCATTCTACTCAAGCAAATTCTGCAGCTTTGAAATGCCAAAAAAAAAAAAAAGCATAGCAACAAAAAGGGGAAAAGGTTGGAAGTATTTAATCCCCAGGGAATCTGTTAAACCCACAGACATGTCACTGTCTCGCAGTCTTCCGCAATCAACTACACAACTTTATAGAACAGGGTTAAAACAATTATTCAGATGTTTTAAACAAAAATCGTTCATACAGCCGTCTAGTCGAACTCCTAACCCACAAGGATAATTCAGCCATGAGGTAAACAGGAAATGAATGCCACAATAACAAGATACAAGTTGCACATAAACATGTTCTTGAAAATTCAATGATTATTCAGCTAAACAAAAAATTCCATAAAGTGACCTTGAAATTCTGAAGGTAGAAAACACTGTATACTAACAGATAAATGGCTTTCACGCTATCTGCATTACAGAAATATTAACATTTTACAGAATTTTACAGAACAGAAACACATGTATAGAGCAGGAAGAGAACACATCATAGATAAAAATATCCTGTGCTGATCCCAAAGAGCTCTGCTACTGGGACAATGCTCAGGACATGGTTTATGTTCAACACATAAACACCCGTTGCTCACGTCAGAACCTGAATGTCTGCAACATGAGAGCATCCAGCACAGACGCCTTATCCCCAGAGAAGCCTGCACTCTGGTAAGACCACAACAGTACAGAATAGCTGCCAGTGGAAGATCCTACAGCCTAACACCAGGAGGGTGGCGAGAAGGTTGCCGTGTTTCCTGTAGGACACTGCTTTTCCCATTATCCTGCTGGAAAACTGGCACAGAATTCAGTCAAGGAAAAACAGACATTGGGTAGGATCCTGGCAAATGATAATGGAAGTGGCAGGCAGCAAGAGCTGTGTGCAAATGAATGCAAGTGGGTAAAAAAATCAACTTGCAGACTTTGTAAACAAATATCCCTTTCCTGTAAGATCCCAGACTGAATTGTACTGTGCTAAGTTCCCTATGTTTGCTATCGGAAGTGCTGGAGTACACATGGCAGAACTACACATTACTACAGTAGAATATAATGGACAACTGCTCCTGTTTGCGGATGATTTGTTTGGGACAACATACAAATTCTGATTGAACCAGACTGTCATGACAGATCTCCCACTGATGGGTTCTCAATTCTGGTAGCAACTAAATGGGTGTCCCTGAAGAGGTGACAAGAGCTGTAAAGGGAGGAGAGAGGACTAATTCTTTCATAGAGTTGCAAGGATTAATAATCACAGTATCTTCTTCCTTGCCTCTTGAGGCAACACATTTCTTCAAGTCTTATCCTTGCCTCTGTGTTTGTTACAGCAATAAATCCAAGCATTTTGCTACTTTCATCAAAGCTGATGCGGCTCTGGCACTTGGGGCACACTTTGCACTGCCCATTGCCTCACCTATGCCAGTTCCCAGTTTTGTTATCCATTATCAGCTTGTTACCCTAAACTATCTCTACGTTTTCTTCATATGGCCACCTAAAAACATGACCTCCCATCAACATCACCTTCAGGCCTCCAGTAAGGAGGCTGCTATCCTAACCTCGTCACTTAAAATTTCCATTAAAAATTCAGTTCTACCAGTATAGTTTCAGGGAATTAGGTTTACTAAATACAAATAACATTCTTAAGTTTTCCTCTAATCTGAAGACTCCGAGGTAAGAACTTCTCTGGAAGATGTAAAAAACAAACACTACACTTTGCTAGCATCTCTTGAGCCAGGATTCTCAGAATTTCATGGGGCTAAAAGTAAATAATAAAACACAGCAGAAGGAAAAATTACCTCCTCTTTCAGCAATATTGAAGACATTTACTGGGACAACCACAGGCGCAGATGCTGACTCACCAATTCCTCACAAGTGCTTTCATCCATAGGCCCTCCTATTTGTTCTTTGATGAAGTCCATATCTTCCTCCAGGACAAGACCATATGATGTCATGACGTCTTCTAGTTTATTGGAAGTGACCAGGTGCTCAAACATTCTAACAGAAGCAGTTTCATGCTGTGAAAAAAACATATAACGTTTACGTAAGCATCTTTCCTGCAGTGCCACAGCTTTCTCCCTAACCCAACAGCACGGCTGGCAGGGCACCTGGACACAGTGGTGTGAAAGTGCAGCACTTGAGCGATCTTCTGTTCATTTTGTATCTAGTCAAACAAGAAACCACCCAGTCTAGAGTCCAGAAACACACTCTTCAGCAGAAAGCTGTTAATTTTGTATTTTAACAAGCAGCAGTAAGACAGTTACAATCCTAAAAGACAAAATAACCAATTCTGTTGTGCAGAAGATTAACAACTTTACTCAGCTGATTTCACTTAGTAACTACAAGCAGAGAGAGGCCTGAAAGGACTGTGTTGCATTTAATTCACAACAAACAACTCCTGAAACTCTGTTCAAAGTTTCTGAAAGTTTGAGTTCTAAACACCGTATTAAACATCCTGGCCCGAACTAAAATCTTGAACTGGAAAGGAAGCTACCAGTTGGTATTTTGCATCTGTAAACACATTCTGACGAAAGCTTGCAATATACCTTTTAAGGCACAATGCTGTCTTAAAATTATCAGTGCAAGTCCTAACAAACTCTGCCTCTTCAGTCACACTACAAGCACTGACAAGATCAAGACATTTCATTTCTCCTCTGTCACCCAGCATCATCTGCAGGAAGGGGACATGCAAGCACAAACAGATCTCATGAAAATACACAGGAGTTTAAGAGTATTTGCATGGAAGAGATGCTGGTGAAAAACATGTGCTCTTACTTACTTCTCCCCACACCTCTTTACTGGTAAGGCTGCATCTGCTCACAGCCACACCAAGGGGGCTGATGTTTGCCACACAGTTAAAGAGAACAACAAGGAAATCATTGCAAGATTAGAAGATAACACTCCAGTTTTTCAACTATGCCATCAGAATGATACAGTGAGAAAAGGCTAGTGATCACTATATTCTCACAAGCACTGGCAGCCTTAAAGATGAATTATTATCCCTTTAAAAATTCCAGTTTCCTATTTTTACTTTAATAGTGAAAAGCCTACCTTCCACTTCAAATCTGGACGAGTAAGTGGAACAAATCTTCCATCAAACATGTGGGAAAATGGCCCATGACCTTAAAAATAAAGATTACATAGGTTTAATCTGAGATACGGTTATCAGTAAAAGTATTTTGAGCAAACTAAGGATATGGCTTCTCTTGTATTTGACTTTATCTTGACATCACCTATGAGGAAGATTCAGCTATAGCAAGTACACTTTCCTAGGACACCGTAAGTACTACTGCATTTAACATAGCCAGTTCCATTACCTACACCACAGGCAAGTGCTGCAGTAACAATGAAAATGTTAATTACTCTGTGCCAGCTCTGGAGAAAATAAGTAGTTACGAAATAATGAAACAACTTTTGAAAGGGTCACTAATGTCTCAAGAGACTTGAGGATATCACAGAAGGAAGCGGATGCTTCAGTCACTGAGGGCAGAACTCTAAATACCATACGGGAAAAAGACCAAAAACTCACTAAGAGTGGCTACAGGTTCACCAAGTGGAGTTGCCTCTGCAGATGTACTCCAGAACAAACAGGAACAGATAAATCCTGTCCTGGAATATGGCCACACACTGAGTGGCCCAGAACAGCTCTCATGCTCCAACCTTGCAGCCAGTTTTTCATTCAGGTTAGCTTTCAAAGACCAACAAACCACCTCAAGTGTTGCTTACCCAAATCATGACAAAGCCCAGCAATTTCTACACACAGGATATCTCGCTGGGTTATGTCCAGTTCTGGTTGCCTCTCCTTCAGTTCACGAACCAGACATCCTGCCAGGTAGCCCACCCTGTTGCAAAAAAAATTAAAAAGTGAATAGAATAGTGTTTCAGTCAGAAGAGAAAAAGAGCAGTTCACCTATTGTATGTTGCTCCATTAAGTCACAGCCCTTGTCTGAGAGGCAGCACATAACAAATACTCAAACCCTGACCTGCAAGGGAATCACAGACAAACTGCTTCCCTTAGTAGAGTTCTAGTCATCAGCACTTGAAAGAAAAAAGCATGAGGTACTATGTCCAAACATGAAGACAACAGCAACCTGCAGTATTGCACCACGGAGTAACTGTGTAAGCGAACAGCAGTGCTGTCAGCGTGCATCCTGGAGCACCACGGCTTCTGCATTATCCTTTGATTTCCAGTCAGTGCAATTGCAAAGGTCCACAACCATCACCAAAGCATTTTGTTCCTCAAGCTGCTATTTTAACAACAGCTTATGACAATTATTTCTCTTCCTTTCACTCACTTTAGATTTGACATTTAATTTCACTGAATAGGATCCTCTGTTTGCATAACAGGAAAACAGTAGGACAAATGTACAGCACATGCTCCTATCAACTGTTAAGCTCTGCACCAACCTCCTTTTCTCCTTGTCTGAACAGTCCCTTCTGCAGAACATCTTAAAGCAAAGCAAGGTTTTATATGACGAGGTAGTATCTTTTATTAAACCAAATTTTACTGTTTAGTAGTTTTTTTACTAGGCCAATAAGCACAGGAAGCTCACTTCAATTTTAACACTCTATAAATCTTCAAAAATTATATACAAGTTAAGAACAACTGTCCTAAGTTTAACTATACAGATTAACTGAACTGTTTAAAATAAAATGTTGTTGATAGCACTGGAGTATTCAGACTTCTGCTGTGAAAGCTTTGCTATATACCTCATGTTTTTGCCTTTTCAGGTACACAGATGTAATCAATTCCAGCTTGCCTCACCGATTTGACCCTTTTGCAACAGCCATTTGCAACACGTTAGTGTAACAGAGCAGGGGCAGAAGCCAGACTTACTCCACAGTATTTAAGCACTAACAAAAGCAACTTTAGGCTGGCCAGATCACCAGAATAAAAACCACTAGTTGGAATTTCTCTGCACCTTGGGATATATCTTTAAAGCAACTGTAAATCTGTCATTAATCAGCTTTTCTGCGGAGCGTGAATGATGTAGCAACACTCTGGGAACCCTCCTGTCCATCATCTGTTTATATTTAACTTAAATTACAGCTAACAGCCTGACAACCTGCCATTGATTGCATAAAGCACACATAACTACAAATGGAAACATGGATCAAGGTCAAATGCAGATCAAGGGAACAGCCCACAATCACACAGGATATCCAGCAATGTTTGTGAGACCAAAGATGCTGCCACAGCAGTTTTCACCAGTGCTCAAAGGCAGTGATGCCCCTTTGCTGGAACTCCATGTTAGTGGAACCAAACTTGGGAAAATCCACATGCAAGAAATGTACAGGTAAGACCCTTACCCTATGGAGTGTTCGAAGCGGTTGTGAGAGGCTCCTGGAAAGACAAAGTAAGAGCCACCCAGCTGCTTAATGTATCGGAGGCGCTGAAATTGAGGTGTGTCAATGATGCGCACAAGAAGGGGATGTATTTCGATGTGCCCGTGAATTGGATCATTAAAAACCTACAGAAGCCAAAGAACAGTGTGATTAACATTTAAAATTTGACTTTGAAAAGAAACAGGGACAAAGGTAAAAAGATATCTAGAATGGTCAGGTATTTGGTGGAAGAGGGCAACGGTTTTGTTTTCTCCTGTAGAACGGCCATATCCTGCATACCCTATGTCAAGATCTATCTTGGAGAACTACTTAAGCATGGCATCAAAAGAGACAAAGCTGCACATGTCGGCAGGCAAGAGAATTTAAGTCAAAATCTCTACAAATGTTATCTGCACCTGTGTAATTCCAAAGCTTAATACTTGAGAAAGCCACAGTCTGGTTAAAGCAGAATACTGCAATACATGTCTGAGGTAACAAATAACCAGTGTTTGACTGGGCATAGTTCATTTTTCATGTGTGTTTTTTTCTTTGTTTGTGGTTTGTCTTGTTTTTTTGTGGTTTTTGTTTGTTTGTTTTTTAATCAAGTGTAATTTTGCAGAGGGGAAGTTATAATTCTTACCTTTTCCACAAAACAAAATACAAAACCAAAGATAACTGAAATACAAAGGAAGTACTCCCTGGCCATTCCTAACCATGCATTTTAAGAAACAGATATCTGAGTAACTACAGTAACTTACTAGAGAAGAGAAACGCACACATTTAATTCTTGCCTCAAAACAGCAGATAAAACCATTTCATCACACATGTATCTTGGTAAAGCACTGTGGCAAAATAGGTTTTCCCATGTTCTCTCTACTCTCGGTCACTGAGCAGACCAGGCTCTAGGAGATGCACAGACTACCAAGGAATGCGTGCAGCCCTGGCCCGCGTTAAGCCAACACACATGACTGTGAGGAACTGCTGGACTTTTTTAAAGAAAAGTAGAAGTGAGGAGGAGTCTGTCAACCCAGGCCTGGGGCAAAACTGGTGGGGAAAAAAAAACAAAGGAAGTCTCTACCCAGATGAAAGGGGAGATTCTCAACATATTTCAAACAGCTCAGCTGCTAGTTCCATCTCTCACAACCACCAGGTGCCCACATAAACCTCTTAGCTGATGATTTTAACCACTCTTCTGGTTAATGTGGTTTTTCAAAGACCACCCACTGCCAAGGGAGCCTGCTGCTCTGCAGAGGCAGCACCAGCTGGCACTACCAAGCCAAGAGGAGGGGAGGCAGAGAGATAGGGTGGTGACAGCCAGCGAGGCCCAGGGAGCGGTGTCCTCCAGCGTGGTGCAGGGGCTACCTTCATGGCATCCATGTGCTGCTGTCCCAGCTTGTTCAGGCAGGCCAGCACTTTCAGTCTCTCAGCTGGGAGGCTAGAAAGGGAAAAAAAGACACCGAGAGCAAAGTTTGCACTGCATTTCCCTTTATAAGGGACTATATGGCACTGCTTGTGCAAGTTCATATTACTCTGACATTTGTTCACTCTTTTAAGGAAATAAATATTTCAGCAGCTTTTTCAGAAAAATATTGAAAGCATTTATCCTTCTAAAGTCAAGCAGAGAAGTAAGAGAACAAATAGCTACAGAAGCTGTTCATAAAGCAGTACAAATAAGTGCTTCTCCCACCTCTGGGGAACCAAGGCATAGAAATATCAGGAAATACGCATTGTTTTCATCAATCTCTTTTAGGAGAAGTCACGTTTGGGGATAAGTCCTTTAAATTTATCATCTGAATCATTTAATAATTCACAATCCATAAAATATTAAATGCATATGGTGTCTGAGCTGCTGGTGAGCAGTTTTTGTCATAACCATTTGGTGTCCCTTTCCCTAACCGGGAGCCCTGGGGCTGCAGCCTCTGCACTCCCAGACTGTGGCAAGGCTTCAGCTGCCCCCACTTTGCAGGCAAGATGAAAAGCACTCATGGTGACACTCAGCCCAGTGTGGTGACTCTCAGCCTGCAGGAACCATCACAAACCCCCAGACACTGACAAGGGAGCTCCTGCAAGAGCACTGTGTACAGGGCACCAGAAAGCAGCTAACGCTGTGGACGAGGAGGACCACCTGCATCTGCCAGTCCGGCTCTCTGCTGAGAAGGCAAACTTTGGCACAGCAGAAGAGCTGAGGAACACTTTTGTGGCCAGCAAACCAGAAGCTGTAAACACCTATCCTTACACTCCCAGGCAAAGCAATACAACCGTTTTTTTTTAAATGCGACCAAGAACTATCAACTGCTGCTTATAAGAAACCTCCAACACCACCCTCAAAAACAGTCCAGGGACAGCAAAGTCAGAAGCGATCTGCTTCCAGCCATCTACATTTACTTTCATCTACTTTCCCACAGATGACAGAGACAAGAAAAGCCCTTTTCGTTAGGAACTGAACTGCCCCAGAGAGGTCAGTCAGACAGCCCTGCTCATCATCCAGATTTCACACACAGCATGCCACACAACATCCACCTCCAGGAAGACGAGAAGGTGTGGGAAGCCCATAGCCCTCCAGGCCCCTGTCATCTCGAGCCCCCCACTGAATGGCCAGGAATGGCAGGGAACTAAATATATGCAATCATTACTGGCCTGTCACAGAGAAGTGATGAAAGTTACTGTAGGACACAGCACGCAGTGGAAAGCTCCTCACAGCCATTTGCCTACACCGCCTGTACCACATGCTCAGAGGGACTTCGTCATTACCCTGTCCTGCCAGCCTGCAGTCAGCCTTTGAGTGCTCAGTGTGCCCTATGGGCACTGGGTGCTCAGTCAGCCAGCAAGGTACTAACAGCAACCAGCCTCCCGAAACCATACCTCCACTTCTTATTTCAATTAGATGATCACCTTATACTTCAGAAACCAATAAAGCCTTTAGCTGCCTTTGTCATGATACCACACTTCAAACAGCTGCAGTTAAAATCCTTCTTCCAAAAAAGCCTAAGAACACCTTAACGACTCCTGCCAACATCTTACCTCTTCCCAAGCGCAACCTCTCTGCCTGTCACCCTGACTAACAGCCGCTCTTTTCTACTGATGGCCACACCCAGATGACTGCTCCTTCAACTCACACTTCACACCTTGTAATAAGAGATGGGGCTCTTCATCCTTGGCATGGTGTGAGTTCTGGCAAGTTTTCAGCCAAGGAGCCAACCCGCACACCAAAGTACTCAAAACTCCCAGCAGACAAGCACAGCTCTGCACTCGTGCAGGCCTGCCAGATAACCACCATCCAAACTGCCTTAGGTCCACTAACCGCAACATCAGCAAATAGCTTGAGCAGAACAGTTGGGTTTTGAGAGAAATTTGAAGGCAACAGTGTAAACAAGGTTAGCAAAGGAGTAAAGACAAGACATTGCAAGACTAAAAAGTGCCAGGAAAGATGTGATGAGCAAGCAGGCTCATATCCCAGGAGAGGTGAGCAAAACTGATGCCAGTGGGGCAGAGAAGGGGAAGTGGGGCCCTTCAGACATGCAGGGTAACAGGATACATCTATACTTTCTTCTGTGTCAGAAGAGCAAGAAAGTATATTCACCACCAGCAAAATTACAAGGTTTTGAGGACCAGTCATCTCCCTCCCTGCTGGGAACTCTTTTCATGCTTTAGGACAGTAGTTTTCTTGTACTCGTGGCTACCAAGCTGGGAGTCAGACACTGCCAGACTGCCTGCTGCCCACGGCCAAGTGCTGCGGCAGCTCACAGCGGACCCTGGCCCACAGGCCCATATCCTGTCAGGACACACAGCACAATCCCTTTTTCTGTAACAGTCCACCTATTGCAGCACAATAAAAAGGAAGTTCCAGTAACCACTGCAAGATTAAAATGTGGAGACTCTGGGTGTGTCTCAGGGCAGTGGATGAAACTCAACCTCCACAAAGCAGCACCTACTTGCTAACTTAGGAATCGTTACTGCTGTTGTTACTGCAATCAGAGCACCATTAGCTTTAGGCTATAAAGTTCTCATCAAAACCAATGGAGTTCACAATGATGTTCCTTCTAACGTTTAAAATGTTATTGTGCTACTGGGGATATCTTCATTAAAGCTTTTTAAGTTATCTTTTTTTTTTACTTCACATGGTTACTGGACAACTAGCTTCCATGTGCTAGATGGCACTGGGTGTGCTGGGATCAGAAGAACTGGTGAACTGTGCTGGTGGGCCTGCCCTCAGCCACGCAGAGCTCGTTCCATCATGGACACCCACTCCGACCGTCCTCACATCCCAACTCTTGGGCATTTGGGGTGGAAACGGGACAAAGCCATCCCGTTAGGACAGGAAACGTTTTTCTCCTGGAGTTCACTATCGCAGACAGGGCCTGGCGAGGCAGGGACCCAGCTGCAGTTCCCGTGACCCACACATCCCCGAGGGCCCCACGAAGCCCATCGCTGAGTGCCTTTCTCCTGCTCCAAGGGCGAGGGGCCCTCCGGGCCAGTCACAGCGGCCGGGGACTCCAGGGTCTCGCCCAAGCGGGGTGGAGAGGCGGGGCCACCCCCCACCCCAAGGCCTCCCGCGGCCCAGGCCCACGGGGGCGGCTCTCACCAGACGCGGGTGATCTCGAAGGCACAGGCCGGCAGGTCCAGCAGCATGCTCCCGGTGACTCCGCTCTCTGCGGGGGCAAGCACAGCGTCAGCGGCGGGACCTAGCCGCCCC